GATAAGTCTGATGGTGATTCCAAGGAGAGGTAAGTATTTTGTTTAATAGTGGGCAAGAGTTTTCACTCATATATTGGACCTTGACTTGGAGTGGGAAAAAAATGGCAGGAATTGCTTTCACGCTGTGTCTCTACATAGTGAGTGATTGAAGAAGTTTGTGATGCATAAAGAAAACAAACTCCCTTTAATTGTTGTCTCTGTCACTATAAGATTTCCATGCTGAACTATCTGGGACTTGTGATTGTGTTCCTCTGGTTTTTGTCAACCGTAGCTTCCCAGGAAACCAGTCTTCGAGCGTCAAAGGATGCATTAAAAGCATGAGTTCAAAGGTGCCATTATGCTTCTTTTCCACTGTGAATGAGACTGAATTTATTTCTGATTTTGTTAAAATTAAAATTTTAAATTAAAAAAATATTATTTGTTGCATTACCACAGGTGCAGCTGCACAGGTGGCAGTAGCCGATAAGATTGTGAATTGTTGCTCCGAACCTTTGTTAGATGAAATATTGCTAATGTTGCTATTGATAAAACTGTACCAGTACAAGTAATTTAACATGGAATACTTAGCAGGACCTCACTAAACTTATTGAAAAGTCCTCTGAATGCAAGGTGGAAGTTGCATCATGAATGATGACTGAATTTCATCTTATTTTTCCTCTACTAGAAAAAGCAATATGAACGAAATGAATGACTTGGTGCAGCTGATGACGTGGACACTGAAAATAGACTCTAAGGAGAACTCTGAATACTGTCTAACCTCGACTCCAGCCCCAGAGTTTAAACTTCACAGAAAATATCGAGACACTTTGATTTTGCATGGAAAATCACCTGATGAATCAGAGGAATTAAAATTTGAAGAGATTTCTTCAGGTCTGTTGCTCTGTTACTGCTTTACATGAATGGTTTCAACTGCTAATACCCAAAGAAAACCTGCTAGTGATCAACAGAGGACAATCCACTCTTGTTTCTTCTCGGCTCTCAACAATGCTTGCAGAAGTAAACATCTTTCTAAATGATTTTGTGTGCAAAACAGCTCTAGTTGTGGTTTACTTGCCAATGAAAAGAACATGTGATTTGATCTGTGTAATTATTAATGAAGAGAGAAGGCTGCTCTGCAATATGACCTTTTTTCCCCCATATGACTTATAGTCAGAAGCTTCCAAAATGAACAGTTGCAGTTGAGTATTTTGAAATAAGATTTTTAAGGCATTCAAATGATTTGATAGCTGTAAATCTTTCTGAATTGTGGGTAAAGCTGAAATTGTACACAAAGCATGAAACACAGTGGAGATTTGGATGAGAAGTTCATCCTCATTGCTGAATTTGGGCAAGCTTATTTTTCCCCCAGATACAGGTGCAAGAATTTAATAACTTTTCATATTGAAGGTCTGGTCTAGACCTTAATATATGTATTCCAAAAAGCAAGAAAAATTGTATTTGCGATGACTGCACTTACTATGCAACAAGAACAAGATAAAAAGGTGAAGGTAGGTTTCTGAAGTTTCAGACCATCTTGTGCTTATTGTTTTAAATGATAAGGATTCTACTTGTAACTAGCCTGGTGATAGGCAAAGCAATGGGAGAACACAGGATTTTACTCTGGTAAGTCGATTCTGCATAGCTAAAGTAAAATCCATTGAAAGAGTTTGTGTTTAAACAGGTATGACAGAAAGTTGAAGGTACAAATTTCAGTGGTACTCTGTTTTTCTGTCTGTTTTTCTCACTCTGAAGTATTGTATAGTGAGATCATCCAGCTATTTACTTAATACCATTTGAGATGACAGGGCTACTAGATTTCTAAGCTGAAATTTATTTTAATTAGATCAGATATTTTATTTTCATCAGTGATCCATCCTATGAAAGGAGTGTTGGTGATTTCAGTGATTAAAAGCACAAGCTACTTTTCTCAGTTCAGTTCCTAATGGAGGTGCCTCCCCTTATAAAGTGACTGTCTCTTGTTAGCAGCTTCAGCTGAGGAGCAAAAGATTCAAAGGCTGTGGAGACAAACAGCCAGGTGGCAGAAATGATGCCATTAGTGTTTTACAGTGATTAAACTTTTTACATTTGCTGTAAGTACAAGTGATTGAATTATTAAAATATTTGGGTGGTGGTGTAGTATTAGAGGATAGTACTTTTCATTCAAATAGTATTTGTAATATAGTGTACAGGAACCACCTGAAACAAAGTTACCAGGACCTAGTGGTGCAAACTGTGTCTGCATTGACTTTGTACTGTCTGTTGTCTTTAAGAGTTAGCATCGGAGTGCCTCTGATTCACCATGCTTGTTGAGCGGTCTAGCTACCCAGTTCAGGTAGACAAGTTATTTCGTGCGAATGGTCAGCTGGAATTCTGTGGTAATACAGTTGTCCCATATTCTTCTTCTGCATAGAGTATGAAAATTGACTACACTGAAAGTAATTACTACTGCATTGATGATTTTTTTTTTTTTTAAATTTTATTTTATAGTAGATGTGTTACCAGTTCCTGACAAGATTAGGAGAATGGTTGAAATCCTGAGATCCGATGTGGTGCAAGGATTGGGAGTGAAACTTCTTGAGAAGGTGTACAGCATCATGGAAGATGATGATGAAGTGAAAAGAGAGGTGAATATCTTTCATAATGAAAGCGTATAATTTGTTTATAAACCTAGATAAACAAGCAAGGTCATTACTGGCCAGCCCCCACCCCTTTTTAGATATTGATACAGTACTGCAAACCTCAATTCCAAAAAGTGTTTATGTAGTCATTGGCAGGCAAGGGCCTAAGTATATTGGCATTTTCAATGTCAAAGTTTGATTCTAAATGTAGACTATGTTCAGCCACAAATTCTTCAGAAAGCACAGCAGCTTTAGAGTTCTACCATGGTCCCCAAGTTTGTGGAAGATGCAAGGGATGTGAGTAATTTTACTCTGTGGTCTGTCTCCAATAATAATAATAACTTCTTTTGACCCATAATTTTTTGCCTTCACGTTACTTGCCTCATGCTCTTTATGTCCGAACTGTGAAAGTTTAATGTCTGTTCCTAATAGAGGTGAGTAAGCAAAACCTTCAGCTTATTTGATTCAAAATTTGGTTACAAATGAGTTTGGTTACTGCATGGGTAAGTATAAGCTGTGAAGATCTGATTCATATTTTAAATTGTTGGGTGGGATATGGAACTCTCTCCCAACAAAGACTTCAACAACAGAGACTTGCATTTTTCTTCCCACCCATCTATGTTGTCAAACTTCACATGCTGCTTTCACTTGAATGCTTTGGGGTTTGGTTTTTTTTTTTTTCTTTTGTTAATATTTTGGTAGTTTTTCTTAACATCAGTAAATTTTGTGTTGTGTGTTTTTTGTGTGTGTGTGTTCTAAATAGCTGCAGTTGCGGGAGCACATGGGAGACAAGTATGCAAGTTACAGTGCGAAGGCACGCCATTTGAAATTTCTTGAAGAAAATGTGAAGTTCTGACCAGAAGCTTTTTGTTAGAGAAAAGGACTGGTTTATAGCTTGTTTGATAGACAAACATGCTTTGTAAGCTGGTCCAATCCATTGACCTCCTTTGCCAGAATAAGGAGGTGAACTTGCAAAAAACATTATAGTTTGTAGTAATATTTTTTCATGTTAAATTGTGAACCAGGCTATCACCTTCTTAGAAGAGAAACTGTTTCGTGTAGTTTTTAATCTCTTAATGAAATTTTTAAAAGTTGCTTTTTATAGATGCAAAGAGGGACGGATACCAAGTTTTATATACAAAGGAACATAAAAAAAAAAAGATGTTTTTGTTTGAATTTGTCGTAACAAAAGATTTTCGGTATGGTCACATACTAAATACAGTTACGAAATCTATGCCAAGGCTATGGTGCGATAGGCTATAACCTACTACATCAAACAGTTGTGAAAATTTAGCAGGGAGAAATAATTACTAATTTTTGTAGCACCAAAAGCCCTCCAGGTTCTGTACATTGTCAAGTTAAAGTGCTAAAGGGGGTGGCCATACTGGTTTAAACAAAGCCTTTGCTTTTGTGTTTTATTGCTAAGGCAATGCCCAAAGTGGTGGAAAGTATTTGGTAATTGGATAAAGTAAGTCTGAGAATGTTTGAAAGGACACAGCCATGGTTACCATGGTCCCAGCTGGAGAAATCCCTTTGCCTTATAAATACTAATTCATTTTAGGAATGAAAATGCCCAAGACAGGGTCACTTAGAGAAACAGGCATCTTAGCTTTTCCCGTTCTTTGCATCTAGATTTGTGTTGCTACACACATGCCCAGGCATTGTCATGTGGCATCACTACAGAAAAGCATGTGTTCTTTTTAAAGGATAAAGAAGTCAAAGGGAATTGAATTTGTAAAATAAAAATCCCACACCTGTCGCTTTCCCTGCCTCTAGCTTAAATATTGTAACCTCCAGCACCTGTGAGGGAGACTAACATGACAGTCAGTAGTAAAAAAGTGCAATAGGTATGGATCCTGCTGCTTCCCACCTACTAGATGCTCAAGTTGCAAGGTTTCAAGAGCTATTGTAATACACCGTGTCAACATGTTACTTTCTCTATTCAGCCAAGTTTATTTTAAACAAAAAATGCCACTCTGCAATCTCCTATCAGCATTTTTCAGAACTGTGGGGTGTGTATAGTTTTACACTGCTTGTTACAACGTGACACTACTGGCAGGTTGTTTTACACACAGTTAAATATTTTAATACAAGTCCAGCTGTGTATTATCTTTTAGGCTTATGGCAACATCTTAACTGTACTTGATTTGATTTGCTGTGTTCCTTTTTACTAAAATACTTGAGTGAGATGTGACCTCCAGTAGCCGTCTAAAGTTAATCCCCCCACCCCTGCCTTCCCAGTGACTTCACTGAAACTCTAGCCAAAATTTAGAGAGTCTTCATGTTCTCTGCAGATCTTGGTGTAGTCACAGTAGCATACAAAGTAGTAAGAAAAAACCCAAACACTCAGCCAAAAACTATTTGACAAAATTTAACAAAGAAACAGCATGAAGAACCACATTTTCAGCTTTTAGCATGTCTCTTTGGCTTTCTGTCTGCTGGCTTCTTTTCTTCTGTTCCCGACTCTTGGACAGGTAGCCACTTCAGAGGATTGCGGCGGTACATGGGCCACGGTGGGAGCGTTAGCTTAGAGAAGAGGAATGAAGTCAGAGCATGTAAATCGAGATGCTAGACAAATGTTTTGTACAGCCTGTTAGGAAAGCCTAATTCCCTAACTATTGTACCAATTAGTCTTAACAAAGTTCACACAATTTCATACCATAATGAGATATTTATAGTTTACACTGTATACTGCACAGTCATGCTTAAGTGTGACTAAAGGACCTCAGCTCATTGCAAGGAGGAAGACAAGCACCCACCCTGAAGAAAAAAGGTGATACCCCTGCACTACAGAGGTAACGCAGCATCCCAGCCCCTCTGACACCTCTATGAAACCCTCCCCCTTATCTGGCATTATACATAACTGTGGGGATGTTAGATTCAGAACAAAGCAGATGGAAGATGATGCCATAGAATTATAGTGGCTTTTCAAAACAGTAGTATGGGTGTCTTAAGTAGCGATAGGTCAAATCATGTTGTATTTAAAGGCTTGAAAGGTCTACGAACCACGTGTAAAACCGCACTTGGTGTGCCCCAGTTGGAACGGGACACCTCGTGTGTGAATAAGGAATTATTCTTGTAATTCTACTTTGCATCCTAGCCTCTCTCCTCGGTCGGTGTGGGCCAGCTGCAAAATTTTCATAACAAGCTACTCCACCACAGAAAGCCTCACTGTCCTTTCTGTTATCAATGCTATCAGCTTGACTTAAAAATAACATTTAATTGAAATGAACAACTGATTCAAAAGCAGTATTAGATTGCAGTGTTCTCTAAAATCTTACGAGCATTTGAGTAAAGGCACTTACTGGCTTGTAAAGCACTTCCCACAGATCAAAGAAAGTACAAATATGTATTAACAGTCTGAATCATATAGCAAACATTTGTCTGTGCTGACAGCCCCTTAATTTAATGATTATTGAAAGTTAAATAGTGCATGTATTTTCTGGTTTGGGGGAAAAAAATTCTTACCAAACATGATAAAGCAAATCCAGCCATAACTATGTAGACAGTCCATCCAAACTGTTCAGTGATGTATCCATAGATGAAGCCAATTATCTGCAGAAAAAAAAAATTAAACTTCAAATAAACAAAACCATTTCCCATGCCATGATTAAGTTGGGGGATGGGGTGGGGGAGAAGTTAAGTAGAAAAATACAAGTTTTTCAAAAGTGCAGTTCATACATCTTTCTAACCTTTTTTCCAAAGCTGTAGGCCAATAATGAATGTAAAAGATTAAAAGAAGTCTTAGTCCATGACAGCACCTTTGATTGTGGCTAAAGCTTTTAGTGACCCAGGTAAGCCAAACAATCAGAAAAAAAACTGGTTTGTAAGATCAGAAAACAGAAGTCCTTTAAGTTATCACCCATAGTTCTAGTATACTTACTGCAGAGACAAGAATGATTCCTTGAAAAATCTGTTCTGCTAATTTTTGGCCCTTGTAGTCCTGTGGAGAGAGACATTTTTTGTCAGTTACTCAAAACACAAACATACCAGTTAAACTCTGTCAGGTTAGAGCCTACAGTCAGCCTGACCACTGGTTCCTAGCTTTTTTATTCAACTTTCAAACTAGACTGGAGTTACTTTTCTTACAGTGTCTGCATTTTAAGTGTAAAAGAATTAAGTTCTTAATTCACTTAACACCTCCCCTGCAGTCTTCAGTACATCATCTAAAAATAAAAGCAAGCACTGTCTGTTCGAGATAACTAATGCAAGTTCAGAACATCATTGCAGTGGGCTTAATACCACCACATAACAGCTTAGAGCAGCGCAAAAGAGTATGTGCTTGAGAGGACGCAGTACGTATGTCGGCTGTGTCTGTACCACTTCAGAAAACGCGGCTCTCGAGGAAAACGCTTTGCCTTCTAGCTGCACACAGCACCGAGAGACACGCAGAGGGGCTTCCCTGGCGCAGCTCTACGTTACCTTCACTTTACAGCACATTAAAGCTCGAATTTTCAGACCAAGAAATCGCAATTCCACGGAGTACCACCCCTCAGCGCCAACAGCAGCTCCTCACGCGCAGGTGTCGACACTGCACGGAGGAAGGGGAACGCTGAAACCCGCAAGCAGCCACGTCGTCGGCAGCGACAAGGGGACCGGGGCGCGGCCGGGCCTCCCGTGGCGGCTGTCCTACCATCTGCGTGGGGATGGAGCGGAAGATGTTCAGCATGGCGGCGGCGAGCGGCGCCTCACACTCCTCGTCGTCGTAGTC